TAGGATCCTCCTGCCTCAGCCTCCTGAGTGCTGGGATTACCAGCATGCACCACCATGCCCAGCCCTCTGCTGTCCTGAATAGGCTACCTAATGGACCACCCCTCCCATGATGACATGTTATAGAAGACCTGGGCTGCTGTTTGCCGTCACTGTCATATTGTCGTGAAGAAGCAGGTGGCCATGCTATGAACCCCCAATGGAAAGATGACGAGGCAGGACAGTGGGCAGCCTCGGAGCCAAAGGTGACCTCTGGCCAATGCCAAAAAGAAACTGAAGTTGCTAGCAAATCCCTGCAACCTGAGCAAACTTGTAAACAGATTCTTCCCAGCTGAGAACACAGCCCAGCCGATGCCTGGGTTATAGCCCATGAGCACCTACAACAGAACTTAACTAAGCATACCGATTCATGCCCAGATTCTTGGCCATGGAGACTAGGGGACAATAAATATGTTTTTTGGTTTGTTTTTTAAAATTTTGAGACAGGGTCTTGCTATGTAGTCCAGCCTGACCTTGGACTTGCTACACTGCCCAGGCTGGCCTCACATTTGGAATCCTCTTGCCTCAACCTCCCAAGTAGCTGGGATTATAGGCATGCACCACTGTGCCCAGCTGAGAGAGATGTGGGTTTTTTTGTTGGTGGTGGTTGTTTTTTCAGTACCGGGGATTGAATCTAGGGCTTTCACACTGAGCTATATTCCCAGCCGATTTTTTTCATTTTGACACAGGGTCTAAGTTGTTAAATTGCCTAGCTTGGGTTTGAACTTACAATCCTCCTGCCTCAGCCTCCTACAGTGCTGGGATTGCAGGTGCGTGCCACCACAGCTGGCTGAGATGTAGGCTCTAAATTAGTGCTTGTCCTAAATATGTGGTGCCTTTGGCTACACACTTAACTTCTCTGGCCCTCTTTCCTCATCTCTAAATACGACAGGGTTGGATCCACCTTGCATGTGGAGGGTGGAGATTTCCTCTCTCCACACACTGGTGGGTCCTAACCAGCTGTGCCTCCTGCAGCAAGTACTCGTCCAACTACTCTATGTTCCAAAGTTTGTATAACTCATCTACGTTACATACAAGCCGTGTATGCCCACGGGAACAAGTCTCCTACGGCGATGGAAAAAGTTTGAGATAAACTAAACCATTCTCTCTCTAAGGCGTCTTCCCAATCTAATAGTCTATAAATCAGTGCATCAAATCCCATCCAAGTGTCGCCCTTCAAATTATCCCCTCAGTCTTTGTTTTTTTTTTTTTTTTTTTGGTTTTGGTTTTTCTCCGGTACCAGGAACCGAACTCACGACCTTGCGCTTGCCAGGCAGGCGCTTTGCCGCTGAGCTAAATCCCCAGCCCCCCCCTCAGTCTTTGTTAACATGACTCTGAATAGGTTTGGGTCCTGGGTAAAAATCCTGGCTTCATAGAAGGTGGGCCCAGCCCCTGAGCCAAGATATACATCAATTTTGTTTTTTTGTGTGTTTTTTTTCCAGTACTGGGAATCGAACTCATGACCTTGCACTTGCCAGGCAGGCGCTGTGCCGCGGAGCTAAATCCCCAGCCCCTCTAACTCAATTCTGGATAAGCAGAGCTAGGGGTATAGCTAGGTGGTAGAGCACCTGCCTAACCTGCATGAGGCCTTCAATCCCTGCACTGCAAACAAGCAAGCAAGGGAGCAAGAAAACAAACACTTCCCAAAAAACAAAAACCTGGCCAACTAGATGTGAGAGAAGGAGGAAGCCTACTATCTTTCTCCTGGGACCAGGAGAAAGAATTTTCTTCCCTGATAAAAGGGAAGAGGTAGCCTAGGACAGTGGCACACACCTATAATCCCAGCAATCAGGAGGTTCAGGCTGAGGATTCCAAGTTCAACCGCAGCCTGGGAAACTTGGTGAGACCCTTAAAAATAAAAAAGGCCTAGGAGCCAGGCATGGTGGTACATGCTTGTAATCCTAGTATGCGGGAGGCTGAGGCAGGAGGATTGCCATGAGTTTGAGGCCAGTCTGGCCTACACAGTGAATTCAAAGCTAGCCTGGAATACAAAGTAAGACCCTGTCTCAAAAAACAAATAAACAAACAAACAAAGGCCTAGGGATATAGCTCAGAGGAAAGGGCCTAGATTCAACCCCCAGTACCACAAATAAATTATAAAGGGAAGAGGAGCAAAAAGAACCATCTCTCCCTCACTGGCCTGAATAGCGATGTGGATATGTGAAGATGAGATGCTTGGAGCGACAGCAGTCACTTTGCAGTCATGAGGGAGAGAACGAGAAAATGAGGCATAAAACCTAGTGTGCCGATATCATGGACTTGCCAACCTCCAGCCTCGTGTGAGGCAATGAGATATCCTTAATGCTCAAGGCTCCACAGACAGCTCCTATGACTTGCAGCTGAAAGTATCCCTGCCTGACTTTAGTGAGGAATGTGGAGACAAATATATCATTTTTTTTTTTTTTTTTGTCTTTTCAAGACAGGGTCTCCATATGCTGTTCAGGCAGACCTTGAGCTCACTTTGTAGCCCAGGCTGGTCTTGAACTTGCAACGATGCTCCTGCCTCAGCCTCCTGAGTGCTGGGATTACAGGCATGCGCCACCACACCCACCTGAGATAAATACACCATCATGTTTGCTTACTATTTAGCAGGGATGATGACCATGTAAATAATGAAGAAAATGCTTTAAGCATTATGGAATTCCACCTTGGCAGTCGCAAGCACAGCTGGAGTCACCAGATTGCACATCTGCATTCCCAGGCAGACTCCATGTAGGACACCTGCGCATACTGGATGGCACCTGGCAAGCTGGGCAGAATAAAGAGGGGCAGAAGAGCAGGCCAACCTGCTGGGCCACAGTGCCTCGGAGGTCCTGCAGCTGGTCCAGCATCTGGAAGATGTCGAACGCATGCGCTACCTGGATCCTCTGGAGAGCTCCTGCCTGAGGGGTGGGAAGACAAGCAGAGTCCTGGGATAAGAAGTTGGAGGAATAGGGGGCAGAGGAATTCCAAGGTTGAGAGTGGGAAGGGGCACGCGGAGCTAAGCATTCAGGCCAGGAAAGGCAAATGGATTTTGTCTAATGGAGCAGATCTTATAGTGGCAGCTGTCTGGGTTGAGATGGCTCAACGGTAAAATCCTCAGAACTGAGTGGGAAAGACAGATACGATTAGCTAGCGATGTATGCACCGTGAGCAAGAACTGAGCTGGAAACGCAGGTGCCGGGTGCACACCTGCAAGGTTAGGGGTACGCAGGGAGTGCGTAAGGTTTCCCGGAAGAACGGTGTGGGTGGCATCCAAGCGGGGAGGATGCTGTTCCCAGGGGAGGCTGGAGGCCTGCAGGAAGCATCAACAGAACCACAAGTTTCACAGCAAGAAACAGCTGTTCAGGTGGGCGTGGTGATGCACACCTGCAATCCCACAACTCGGGAGGCTGAGGCAGAAGGATCGTTGCAAGTTCGAGATCAGCCTGGGCTACAAAGTGAGCTCAAGGCCAGCCTGAACTGCATAGTGAGACCCTGTCTCGAAAAGACAAAAAAAAAAAAAAGAAACAACTGTTCACCAAACAACCCAAATTCCAGCAGTGTCAGGGACAACAAGGTCTTCTGGCATGAGACTCTCAAAGGAACCTGGCCAACCCAGCCCTTACCTGTTCCTCCTCATCCTGAGTTCTGCCCTGCAGCAGCTGGAGGAGGCGCGAGGCCGTCAGCCCCCCGTTGGAGTCAATGTACAGGACGTTCTGCTGCAGGCTGTGGGCCACGTGTGCAGCCACGCAAAGGCACACCTGAGGAGAGATGGGCCACCGGGACGGCCTGAGCCTGGGAGAGGGAGGGCCTAGCATCCGAGCTCCCCGACACATTCAGATATCAGAGGCCCAGGCCCAGCCCACTTCTCATCACCTGCCTGGTCTCTCTGGACCTCTGTCCCTGTGAGGAGGCTGCTGGAAGCACCTCCTGGGACCTCAGGATGCATCCCCACCTCCTCAGTCCTCCTCCCTGCGGGCCTCACATATACCTGGGTTTTGCCGCTGCCTGGGCCTCCCACAATCTCAGTCACTTCTCCAGTATAGAGCCCGGCATCGAGCAGTTTATCCAGGCTGATGGCAGAAAGAAAAAGAGAAGTCACGTTAGGGGGAAGAGAGAGGAGAGAGGCAAGACCTTCCTTCCAAGCACAGGCTGTGCCCAGAGACGCCCCAGACACCTGTACCGGGAGGTTCCACCCAGTTGGCTTCCTTTGGACATGCGCAGCCTTCACAGATTGCAGGTCTCCGCAACAGTTCACAGGCTCTCAGGACGCCCTGTACCTGGTGAGCAGCACTTGAGCACAATCACCCCAATTATGTCAGTTACGGGGACCGCAGGCTCCTGCCCGTCAGAGGATCCGGTTCCCGCTCCAGCCCTGTAGCTGCTTGGGATGAGTGTGCTCGCCTTGACCCTATTTAAAAGCGCTGTCTTGCCAGGGGTGGTGGTGCACGCCTGTAACTCCAGCTCTCGGGAGGCTAAGGCAGGAGGATCGTTGTGAGTTTGAGACCAGCCTGGGCTACAATGTGAGCTCAAGGCCAGCCTGAACTGCATAGTGAGACCCTGTCTCAGAAAGACCAAAAAAACCCCAAACAAACAAAAAACAAACCACCAGCTCGATGCCCCGTACTTCCTGAAAGTCTCATTCCAAGGAGGGGTATGGAGATGAACAGACACAGTTCTCGCCTGCGGGGAACAAATCTCCCTCGTCAACACAGCATTTTCCAAGGTGTGCCGCGTGCTCTACCCGCTGAAAAGATTCACACGGCACGTGAGCGCCAACGCCTCCAGGAAGGTCTTGTAGTAGCGAAACCTGCTCAATTTGGGTGCTAGGCCTTTCTCAAGCTTTTGACTCTGCCCCCCACTGAAGTTTTAAAGTTAGACGCACTGAATCTCCACGGCACACTGTTAGGAAGTCTAGAAACCTAGTGAGTCAGCTTTGGGTGTTCACACCCACATCCCGTCCGGCAGTATGGCTTATTCTTTTTCTTTCCTTTCCTTTCTTTTTTTTTTTAATGGTACTGGAGATTGAACCCAGGGCCTTCGTGATGAGTCACATCCCTAATCCTTTTTCATTTTTCGACAAGGGTCTCACTAAGTCACCAAGTAGCCCAATCTGGGTTCACAGTTGTGATCCTCCTGCCTTAGCCTCCCAGAGTGCTAGGATTAAAGGCATGTGCCACAACCCCTGGCTTCCTTGTCACATTTTTCTTTAACATGCCTGCTACTCTCACCTGCCCTCAGTCAGACTCACATGCCCCACGCCAGCACCACCAGATGTCTCCTTGGCCTCGTGCGCACGTCTGTCCCGCTGCCTCAACTCTGTCTTCGCAGTGACCTCCCTCCCATCCAAGGCAGGGAGGCAACATGGCAGACATGGCAGGGAGGTAGAGTTCAGTTCTCCGGTGCCTGGTCTGCCAGGACTAGCTGCAGGATCTTGGGCAAGTCATTTAACTAACCCAGGTCCCAATTTCTTCATCCGCAGAAAGATGACTTTAATGGCAACGTGCTCACTCACCAGGGCTTGTGAAGAGCCAGTGACACAATGTGCTGTGATGCTCATCTGTCCCTCCATGGTAAGACCCACCTCCTTCCTCGAGGGCTTCTTGTACCACATGGACCTGCACCTGCACCCTGCCGGCTCACCACTGACCGCTCCCTCTGTGTATGTTGGTTTTATCAGCTGCTTAAACCCAAAGACCAATTCGCTTCCCGTTAGCCACGCCCCTCTCACCACGGCCTCCCTGTGTGCTTACGGCCTCTTGATTCACCGGCTTTTGTCCTGCACCCGCTAGCTTCCCTGCTGGAGAGCAGGGCCCTGGCCTCACTCCTGTGTGTATCACCTGCACATGCCTGGTGCCCAGTAGGCACGCAGCGGAGCCTGCTGAACAAACCTCACACTGAGCACCCAGTAGGCATTCCGCCAGGGCCTGATGGATTACAAACTGGGACTCCAACCATCCAGAGCACGCCCCACGCTGTATGAACATTGCCAAGAGAACGTGTTATAGAAACGGCAAAGGCCAGACCGATCCAAAGACCTCTGCTGTGGCAGTTATTCATCAAACTGCACAAACACGCCAGGAGAGAGGTCAGGCTCACTTGGCCAGAAAAAGTCTGTTGTGTTCCAGCTCTTTCCTAACCCAAACACTATGGCATGATGTAAGGGCTCCTTTCAGCAAGACGGCCTGTTCCTTGCTACTGCCAAGTGTGGCAAAGCCCCGGTTCTGGATCAGACACCCTGGCCCCCTACACCACTCAGGCTAAACGCAAGAGGGGCTAACAGCTGTACCTCCTGGTGGCACGGAGAGCTTACTGCCTGCACCCTGTGAACGCGAGCCCTGCCCTGGGCTCCTTTGCCCCTCCTCAAGTGAAATGCAAGGTAGGGCCAGATAGGACTCTACTCTGCTGTGGTTCTCCACCAGGAGCAATTCTGGCTCCAGGAGGATATTTAGTCAGCTGAAGACATGTTTAAATGTCACACTGGGGGACAAGGGAGGTGCTGATGGCACCTCGAGGAAGAGGCTGGGGATGCTGCTAAACATTCCCCAGGCACGGCCGGCCACACCCCCAACACATGACTACCCACCCCAAAGCATCAATAGTGCCAAGGCCAAGAAACTCTATGGCTCTGTTCCAGGGTAAAAGAACTTCGAAGTCCTGACGCCGCTCCTCCCCATCTGCCCACGCTGCCCTCTCTGGCCCCAAGCCCAGGCACACATACAAACCTTGCGATGCCGGTGGACAGGATGGCAGTGGAGGTCTTGAGTTCCTCATAGAGGTCCGCGCCATTCAAGGGGAAAGCTGAGAACTGAGCCAGCAGCACCCGCCTCAGGGCAACCAGGGCCTGCCAGAGGGGAGACACTCAGGCTCCGCGGGGTCTTGCGGGGCAGCCCGGGGTCTCCTGCACCCCTCTGGCACCCGTCTGCTCCCGTGGCTTAGAGAGGAGCACCTGAAGACGCGCAGGTAGGGGCGTGCAGACCACGAGCTCACCTTGTAAGACAAGCCACACTTCTGGGCCACCTCCTCCAGGTCTGCTGCGGCCAGGTCCACCACTAAAAAGGAGACGCGTGGAGCTGACGGCCAGCGAGGGCGGCCTGGGCTTTCCACGCCGGCTTTTCCTCCCTGTGCAACAGTGCGTGCGCTCCACTCCGAGCAGGCGGCCGGAGAAACAGCCCGAGGACGCGGCTGGGCGCCTCCCGCCGCCGGGTCCGGCTCCCGCACTCCCGCCTCCCCGAGCCTCCCCGGGCGCCGGGGGCCTCCCGCGGGCGGGGTCACCTGTCCTGATCGCGCCGCCCCTCAGAAGCTGGACCATCTCCTCGGTGAGGCCCGGGCACAGCCCGGCCCTGAGCACGCCCATGCTTCCTGCGGGCCGGGGACAGCGCCCTCCGGACGCCCCTCCGCGCCCCTCTCTGGAGAGGGCCCCGAGCGTCGGCTGCGGGAGGAGGTGGCCGGAGAGGGTGGGGTGGCC